ACTCTTTCAGTACCAAGCGCAGCCCCTCCACGTGGAAACACCCAGCACTGTGAGGGAGTCCAGCCTGGCTCTGGGTCCCAGGCCCAGCCTCCTGCCCCTGCAGAGGGCTGTGGGCTCCTGCCCCACCTGACCCGTTGACCCCACTGAATTTCTACTCGGGTGGGTGGGGCACACACTTAGGTTTTTCTTAATGCCAGTTCCGCTCCGATGCCGAGCCTGAGAAGCCACAACTCCTGTCGTTCGCTTGAGGGCAGGCAGCTACGGCTTCCCGTCCTGCCTGGTCCAGACCACCCAGACCGCGCTGTCCTGCCGGGTCTGTGCGCCAGCCCTCCTGCCCCAGGCCCGACTGTGATCTCAGCTGTGGCGCTCGGCTCCGGGGGCCCCTCTGCGGCTCCTCCACCTCCTTCAAGGCCGGGGAGCCTGCCTGGCCTCCCCGCCGTCCAGCCGTCCAGCCCGAGGCTCCATGTCGGAGAAGCTGCTGCCAACCTGGATACGGCCTCGGGGCCTCACGGGCTGGGGTGCGGAGGTGCCCCGCCCGCCGTTCACATCTCCCGTGTGTAGATATGTACAGCAAAGGGTCGTGTAAATGTTCCGCGAGGGGGGGCTGCTCTGCGAGGGGGGGCCACACAGAGGGAAAGCTATTTATTTTGTGTAGAGAAAAGTGTCTGGAGGGATGGGACCTTCAGTTTATTCGTATTTAAGATGTAGCTTTTTTGTTGTTGTTTGGGCGTTATGTATAAAGCAACGATTATTTTATAGACCGAGTCCTAATGTAACTGTTGCAGTGGAAGTGCAATATCTGACCCCCCTGCTCCCCAGCGGGGAACTGCTCGGCCGACAATCACAGCCCCACGAGGGGCCCTGTGGCCAGTGCCGCCGCCTCTACTGGCCCCACCTGGCCCGTCGGGCCCACGCCTGGATGACTAGCCATCGGAGAAGCACCTGGAAGAGCTCGGCCTGCCTGCAATAAAGGCTGAGGCTCCTGGCCGGGGGAGGCCATGTGGGCAGGGGGCTGGCCTCTCCCAGCGGGCAGTCCCCCCAGCTCTGCGCTCCCCACATTCCTGCCCAGCCGCCAGCCATGCCAAGGACAACAGCAATAGCCCCGGGCCTCTCCTTAGCCATAGATGGCGAGGCGGGCAGCCCGGCCTCCCCGCCGCCCTCTCTTCTGTGCCCAGGTGTGCTTCCTGCCTCCTCACCATTCTTTCAGGCACAGTCTCCTTGAGGAAGCACCAGTTTTTCAGAAACTAAGAGAGGGAGGGCAGAGCCCTTTAAAAAATACCAAAAATGTTTACAGCGTCGGGTGCTGAGCTGCAGGGCTCAGGCCTGACCCGTCATTACCAAAGGGTGAGGCGGGCCTTGCTGACTGCCCCCCACCCGGGCCTGTTAGGGTAGCCGCCTTAGCCCCCCCCAGCCCACCCCGCTCCACCCCACCTGCCTTCTCCTGGATCTTCAGAGAGGGAGTCAGCACAGACCCACACCCCACCCAGCTCTGTCCGAGCTGCCCACCCGCCAGCCACGTTGGTCTCTACGTCTCAGCCCCTCCCGTCCGTCTGTCTGTCTGTCCAGGCCATGTGTGAGCAGTGTCCTGACTCCCCTGCACCCCCCACCCTTGCTGTCCCTGCACCATTGGGCCTGAGTGTGCTCTGTATACAGTGCCATTGTCTGTCACACAAATTAAAAAGCTCAAAGGCTTCCTTCTGGGTCTCGTTACTGCACCAGCCACCAGAGCAGTGGGGGGGGGGGGGGGGGGGGCACAGGGGCACGGCCTGTCCCGCACACAGTGCCAGCTGCACCCATGGGAGCACTGGACCACCCGGCCCGGCACAGGGACTCCTGGCTGTTGTCACCTTCGGACCAAACACACAAGGGCAGCAGCCTCCCTCCCAGCCTGAGGGAATCGGGTCAAAGAGCCAAGTCTCTGGGTTTGGGATGCGGCTGGGGCGGGGCGGGTCCAGGCGGGCTCACCGAGGAGGAGCGCACGACCACAGGGCGCACCCGCTTTCCCTGCAGCCCTGTTGTCCCCTGCAGTCGGCAGCACCCTTCCCGCCCTCTCAACACAAGAAGCAACTGCGCACGAGAGGTCTCAGCCAGGGGACGTTTAATACCGGGCAGCTGTGCTCTTTCAGGAGGGAGCTGAGGAGGACAGTGACCGGTCCTCCATCCCTGCATCTGAGAGGCGGCTGCCAGAGGCCGGTCCACAGGAGAGGACAGACAGCACCCATGTGGCCTCCTGCTGCCCACCCCGTCATGCCACCAACACCGCCCACAGACCTGGGTCAGCTGGGCCCTCAGGGCAACAGCCCCGCTCGCATCTGGAAGGCCAGGCCGTCCCCTCGGGTGGCTTGCTAGGTGAGAGAGCACACAGGAGGGGGCGTGTCACAAACAGAGCGGAGCCTGAGCCCTGGGCGAAGGGGCGACACCCACCTTGTTGATCTCCCGGTGCCGTTCCTTGGTGACGATTTCCTCTAAGACCTCACCATCTCCCTTAATGAGCCTGGGGGAGGAGGGGAGCAGGCTGAGCCTCTAACCCAGAGCAACAGAACAAGCCCCAGCCCTCCGTCTCTCCCACCCTCGGGACAGGGATAAAGGTGGCCGGGTGGGCTCTGCCATCAGATCAGCCGAGAATGGCTCTCAGATGACCCTCGGGAAGGCCCTCCCAGCCCCTGCAGCTGCTTGGGGGGGGGGGGGGGGGGAGGGAATGGCCTCAGGAGTCCAGCAACACGTGACTTTCCCATCCTTGGCCTTTTCATAGCAGCAGCCACCACCCCTCCTCCTGCAAGTGCGGGCCAGGGGCTGGGCCTCGTGCCCACTCCCCACCTGGTGCGGCCGGTCTCCGGGTCCACCACCTTGCGGATGACGCTCTGCCGCGCGTCCCACTCCTCCTTGGTCATGGGCTTCATGGCCTGGATGCGCGATTTCTGCTCATCCGTCAGCACTGGAAGGGGAGACGGCAGGGAGGTGGTGGACGGCCCGCAGGGCGGGGACCCTCCTGGTCCCGCACACCCCGCAGCAGGGTACCTGGGCCGTCCTCCTCCTCCCCGGCAGGTCGGTGCCACTGGTCCAGCGAGGGGCCTGGCAGAGCCTCAGGCGGCTGCGCCTCCGCCTTCTCCTTGCCTTTCTTCTTCAGCTTCTTCTTCCTTTTCTTCTTCTTCTTCTTCCTCTTCTTGTCCTTGTGCTTCCCCCACTTCTTCCGGCCATGGCTGGAGGAAGAGGAGGAGGACGAGGAGGACGAGGAGCTGGAAGAACTGGAAGAGGAGGAGGAGGAGCTGGAACGCCGTCTCCTCCGGGCCTGGTGTTTGCTTCTCTCTGTGATGCGGGGAGAAGGTGAGGCTGGAAGGCCGCGAGGGGAGTCAACCTCCCCCCTTGCTCTGGACAGAAGAGTGAGGCCTCCTGCAGGGACCAGCACTCTCCCGCGAGGCACCGGCTGACCAGGTGCAGGGCGGCCAAACCCCCGAGCTCAGGCCCCGCTGCACAGACAGCAGGACTACGCGCTCGAGAAGCGATGCACGCTCAAGGGGCCGGCCCTGCCCCTGGGCCCGGGGCGTCTATCAGTCCCGACGCCCACGCTGTGCTCTGCACCCCTCTGACCACCGCCCCCGGCGATTGCCCTGCAACCGTCCCCAGGAAGCCCGCCCAGCTGACCTTCCCACTCCCCGCGGCCTCACCCTCTGCCCCCGAGGAGGTGGTGCTGGCCTTGCGGCCGTGGGACCTAGAAGCCGAACAGCTCCCCCGGGCGTCCTTGCTGCTCTTCCTTCTCTTTTCCGACCCTCGCCCCCGCGAGCGGCTGCGACTCCTCGAGCGCTGGTGAGAGCCGACGGGAGCCATAGCGCC